TCAGCTCTCTTTTTTTCTTTTCCCCCCAAAAATCACAGTGCTTTTTCTACCTAGAATGCTTTAAATACTCATTGAAAAACAGAATCACGGAGAAAGAAGAAAATCCTAAAAGTAGAGCTAATTACTTTTAATCACTGACTAGTGTTCTTTTGTTTTGTTTTGTTTTCTAGATATGTAAGTGTTTTTTGGTTTTTTACTTGTTTATCTGTTTGTTTTTATTTTTTCCCCTGAAACAGGGGTTCTCTGTGTAGCCCTGGCTGTCCTGGACTTGCTTTGTATACCAGGCTGGCCTTGAGCTCACAGAGATCCGAATGCCTCTGCCTCCGAAGTGCTGGGATCAAAGATGTGTGACACCACCACCAGTACATTCATGCTTTTAATGAGACCAAACATGCGTTTTTTTTCTTTCAAAATAGCACAATTTTCTCTCATTAGTGTCCTTCTGCATGGGTGATTTCCAAAATGTGACCTGTGGTCCTTTGGGCTCTTCCAGACCCTTCCAGGGACCAACCAGATGTCTTAGCTGGCCAGGGCACTTGCTACCAAACCTGATAACCTGAGTCTGATTTCTGGGCCCACATGGTGTCTGGAGAGAACCAGTTGTGGTAAGTTGTCCTCAGACCTTCACATGCATGCCATGACACCTTATTTATATTTTATAATAAAATATAAATAAAAAACAAAACATTTTCATGGAACTTCTGAGATCAAAACTACTCTTTGTCCAGCACTCAAATACCACATTCCTGTTTGTCCAGTCTCTCCTGAGTATATGCTGCTTCAAGCTGAATGCACAAGCAGATGTGAAAGTCCAGCTGTCCCTTGTCAAGCCAGAGGAATATTGAAAGGGGCTCTGAGAAGTAGAAAACAATGCTTCTCTTCTCGTTCACCTTTTCTCCCAGTGCAGGGAATCTAACCAAGAGCTCTTTACACACTACACGGGCACTCTTACCACCCAGCCCCACAACAAACCCTCATTAACATTTTGGCTTTAGAAAATACTATTTCTCATTAAAATATTGTTTTCATAAAAACATATTTTCTAGGAGTTTGTGAAATAAGTTTGCTATTATTTTAGTTCATTGATATATATTTTAAAGATTTTATTTATTTATTTACTTACTTAGTTTTTGTTTTTTGAGGCAGGGTTTCTCTGTGTAGCCTTGGCTGTTCTGGACTCCCTTTGTGGACTAGGCTGGCCTTGTACTCACAGAGATCCACCTGCCTCTGCTTCCTCAGTACTGAGACTAAAGGTGTATATCACCACTACTGGCTAAAATTTTATTTTTAAAGACAGGGTCTGACCTAGCCCAGAACAGCCTCAAAGTCACTATGTAGCACAGAATAACCTTGAACTTCTGATCCTCCAACTGGGATTGCAAGCCTGTGCCATGAGCCACCATACTTGGTCTACGCAGCACTGGGTATCGAGACCAAGACCTCATCATGCTAGGCCCATGTGCTTCCTCCATGATAGGCCTGCAGGAGGCGTGCAAATTCTCACTGTTACAGCATGCCTGGGAATCAGGATACCCATTCCATGTGAGTGGACCCCGAGGGATGTGAACAGATGAAGTTGAGAGGGTGTGTGTGTGTGTGTGTGTGTGTGTGCGTGTGTGTGCATGTGCGGGGTCACTGTTTCGGGGGAGGGGCCTTCTCTATACAGAGTGCAGAATTTAGAAGCCTTTAAGCAACCTGTGGTGGTTTGTATAAGAATGGTCCCCATAGGAACATATATTTGAATGCTTAATTATCAGGGAGTGGAGCTCTTTGATAGGATTAGAAGGATTAGGAGGTGTGACCTTGTTGAAATAGGTGTACCCTTATTGGAGGAAGTATGCAGATGGGTTTTGAGGTTTCAAAAGTCCATGTTCTCCCTCTTGCTGCTCGAGGATCAGGATGTAGATCCTAGCCACTTCTCTAGCACCTCGCCTACCTGCCAACCATGCTCCCTGCGGCCATGTTCCCTGCTATGACAAAAACGGACTAAGCCTTTGAAACTGTAAGGAAGCCCCCAATTAAATGCTTTTTTTTAATCAGAGTTGCCTTGGTCACGGTGTCTCTTCATAGCAATAGAACACTGACTAAGACACAATTTGACAGAGAACACTTGGTTTTTAACTGATGAAAATAATAATAATAAACCCGAAAGTTAAAAATGCTGCAAACATGCTGGGTGTGATGGCACACACCTTTAATCCCAGTACTCAGGAGGCAGAGGCAGGCAGATCAGTGTGAGTTCAAGGTCAGCCTGGTCCACACAGAAAGTTCCAGCCAGAGCTATACATTGTGAGACCCCATTTTAAGAAAATTAAAAATAAAAAAGCTGCAAACATTTGAGTGTGTGCATCATTAGGGACGGGATCCGTCTGTGTAGCTCAGGCAGGCCTCAGATGTTTGGTCTTTCTGACTCAGCCTCCTGAGCACTGGAAGTCTAGCTGTGTGTTATCATGTCTGACATCTTACTGATTGATTGATTGAAGACAGGGTCTTGCTACAGTTTTGCTGGCCTGGAACTTGGTATTTAGCCCAAAGGCTAATTGTCCTGGGACAATTCTGCCTCCTCAGTGCTGGGATCACAGGTTTGCACCCTCACAGCCATGCTAACGTGGTAAATACATCTGAGGACCTTCCTGCTGAACAGACTCCCGAGAGGAAGGCCAGCTGTAGACTGTACTTCAGAGGTGAATAGGCAGCTTCCGGTTGCCTCACGCATGTTATCTCGCCACAGGCCCTGCACACCTGTTCTCACATGTTTCACAATCCTCCCTGCTCTCTATTAAATGTTGTGTCATCTATGAATTGCTTATGCAGATCTTTTGTCCACTTTCCTTTTGTGCTGATTTTTTTTTTCCTGGAACTTTCTGTGTTCCAGAACACAACCTTTCGTTTGTTATGTACTGAAAATATTCTGCTCAGGCATGCGGTTTCCTTTTAACTTTGTTTAGGCGCCTCACTGCAGTACAGGAACTTAGCTGTTTAAAAATAAATCCTATTGTATCAATCATCTCCCTGATAATCTGCAGAGATGCTTTGACACACCAAGCCCTTCCACAGAGCATGATTTTAAAAAGTTCTCCTGGTGCCAGTGAAACGGCTCAGTGGTAAGGTGCTTGCTGCCGACCCTTGATGACCTGAGTTCAATATCTGGAACCCATATGATAGAGGGAAGGAACTGGTTTCTGAAAGCTGTCTTTTGACCCCACACATGCACCGTGGCACAAACTCTACCACACCCACACACCACTAACACACCACTAACACATCACACATATATACACACACACACATACCACACTTACATACATACCACATGCACACACCACACGCACACACCACACACATACACATACCACACATGCACACACACATACACACCACATACATATACACGCCACACACATATACACACACTGTACACACACATAGTCATATATACCATACACACATGCACCACATAAACACATCCATACACACACACACCACAGACACGCAGCACGCACACTTACCATGCATGCACACACACCACACACACACACACATGCATACACACACAAAGTAATGAGCATAATTTTAAAATCAATATTAAAAAACCTTTTAAAATGTTTTCATTTTTTTCTGCTATACTAGCATTCTCCTTGTTTCCATTCCCTTCCTCCTTTCCTTCCTTTGATAAAATCTCACGTACGTACCTGCTTCAACCTCCCAAGTTCTGGGATTATAGCAGTGTAGCATCTGCCCGGCTCTCTCCTTTCTTCCTTCTCCCTCCCCCTAGACCCTCGACAACGTAAACGTTTATTTCGTGATTCCAAAGCTCAGGAGGACACCGAGTGTTGACTCCTGAGTTATGAACATGGCGAGGTGCCAGCAATGAGTTTGTCCCACCCACCCGGGGGGCCAGGCCTGAGCAGCTGCCTGGAGCTAAGCTGGCCCCAGGGCAGAGATCTGAGGCCATCTGGTTTGGAAATGGAGGCAAGCTGCATTTCAGAGGTCCAAATGCAAAGCTGACCAGGGAACTAGCTCCACCTCTACTGCGTGGCTCTGAGTGACTGTCAGGGTAGCTCTGCAGTGCAGCTCCTGGACACCACTCATGTCTGGTCCTACTTGAGGCCCATGCACTGAAGACAGCACAAGACAGAGTTATGAGCCTGCTTTCTCAGTGCAGGGAAACAAAGGGCAGAAACGCAGAAATGCTGAGAGCCTCGTGTAAGGCCACCTGGCTGGCAAGTGGGAAAGTCCATACCTGCAGCGTCAAGCCGCTGCTCCTTACACCTTTCTGAGATCCAGCTGTCGTCAGGGCCACTGCAGCTGGCCTTGTGGTGGGAAAGAGGATCTGTCCTGTGCAGTCCCCAAAGCTGTGCTCCCTCTGTGGGAGGAAAGTCTGGAAATTGCTCTTACCACCAGCTGCCTATTTCTAGAACCAGTGTTTCCTTCTGTGAGCACCTCCTCCCTGGAGCTGGGATGAGTCAGGCCAGGAATGGGAGCACAGGCATAAACAAGTGAAACTGACAGCAAGCACTTTGCCCGAGGCACGAGGCACGTGACCTCCCACAGGCCTCCTGGGACTGTGCCTGAATGGCTAGAGTGACAAAATCAACAAAATGGCAGCAGTAAGCTTAGTGGGTTTAACCTGTAGCAGTCACATAAGCAGCCCGGTGGTGAAAGCCTTCGGGCAGGAAATGGGCACCAGGGCCTGGCAGATGGTGGCCAGCCTCCCAGCAGAGGGCGGTTCCCTAAGTGGACAGGTTTTTGTTTGTTTTGTTTTTGTTTTTTGTTTTTATTTTATTTTTTCAGAGCCCAAAGTAGCCATAGCTGCTTTCCTCCAGCTCTATACCAAAGTTGCTACAGACACTGAGATACAATGGCAGGGCCTAAGCTTTCCCTAGACACAAGTGTAATCCAGTCCTCCAGGCAGGGACCCACAGAGGAGCACAGAAAAGAGATCTCAGGCCTCCCAGGTCCTGCTTCGTTCAGAGTCTCTGGGAAACAGGGCCACTTACCTGCTCCAGGGGGATGACCAGGAAGGAGCCACCTCCAGCGCTCTCTGTGACTATGGCCAGGAAGCGGGCATTGACCGCACAGAAGTGGTTGTCGTGCACGTTCTTGGTGATGGGGATCCCGTCAAAGCAGTGCTCCCGGTTGGCCACCTTCCCGTACACGTTCCGGAACTTGGAACTGCGGTACTGCGGTCGCCAGGACATCTGCAAAAGACCAGCAGAAGCAGGGTTAGGCTGACTGCTACTTCGTGAAGGAGCCAGGCAGTCAGATGCAGGGAGCAAGTGATTCCTTCCTTGGGCACACCCACCTTCATGTAGAGATGAGAGGTGATGGCACCACCAGGAGCATGCGTGTCTCTGACAGTCTGGCTTGAGGATGTTCACAGCATCCTGTGTATGGTTCGCATACCCAACAATCTTCTAGAAAGAGTGTGGGCTCCTCTAGCCACCAATGACAATGACGTGTGATGCAGCAAGTCAGCCACATATGTAACTGTGCCCTGCCTGTCCAAACTCATTTCACTCAGCCCTGATTAAGGAGGCTGGGTGTCTCACAAAGACTGAGGACGATGCCAGAGGCATGGGTCAGGGCATTGCCTCGTGCTCAAGAAGGAAGCCACATTTCCCACCTCCTCCTCTGATTCTTTCCAGAACTTCTTCCCCGTGAGCATGACCCCACAACTCTTAGTTCTGCGGTCTGTCACTGCCATCCTCAGGCCCAGAATGGTTAAGCGACACAGCTGAGCGTGTTATAGAGACGGCATATAGAGTGTTGGGCCTTTTGAGTCTTGAATGAAGTCCTCAGTGTTCGAGGACTCCAAAGATCACCTACAGCAGAATCACTGACGGTGGAGGAGGTGCCTGAGTTTCCGTGTCACTATTTAAAATGCACTTCCTGGGTCCCAGTCTGGGCTTAACAATTCCGGGGCAACATTTTTGGAGTGCAGTCTAACACTCAGCAAGCTGACCCAGGTTCCTTGCCTACCGGCAAGTGACACAAAAACACCCTGACGTTGGAGAGTCCGTGCTCTAGAGCCTAGAGTAGGCTCTCAGCAGCCAGCCCTGCACTGTCCTATGTCGATGACTGGTCCGAGGGTTCACCTTTGATGCATATGGAGGGCGAGTGGAGGATCCCTGGCAGCCTTCTCTGGGGCCAAGCCTCCTGCAGGGAAGCCCTACCAGTGTCACAGTGAGCCCAGCCGAGACCACACACAGCAGCTCTCAGCAGAGGCTCTGTGTAAGACCCAGCTCACAAGCACTGGACTTGATCGTAGCCAAAATGTCAAGAAGTTTTTTGTTTGTTTGTTTGTTTGTTTGTTTGTTTGTTTGGTGAGACAGGGTCTCACTGGGTAGTTCTGGCTGTCCTGGAACTCACTTTGTAGACCAGGCTGGCCTTGAACTCACAGAGATCTGGCGGCCTCTGCCTCCCAAGTGCTGGGATTAAAGTCATCCACCACATGCCTGACTAGGAGATGAAGTTTTTAAGTTTAGCAGTTGTATGTTTATTTTAATTTACATTAGAAAAGAATAACACATATTCCAGGCTCTTGATATCATAGGTACTATTGTGAATTAGTGCTAATGAGGAAAAAAAAAAAACAGAAAGAAAAAGAAAAGAAAAGAAAGAAAAAGGAAAGGAAAGGGAAAAGGATAGGGAAAAGAAAAGGAAAAAAAAGGAAAGGAAAGAGTAGCTAAAAAAATATAGTATGAGCCTGTCATATTAGAGAGCTGTCTGAGTGGGTAATTACAGAAATCATGCTGTCCCTGCCAGGTAGAACATTCTAGATTCCACAGTTCCATAGGGAAGGCGCTGTGTTTGCTCATTCCAGCTTCTGCGGGTGCCATTCTGGGTAGGCATGCCCTTTCTTTGTTCTCTCCAGCCACAGCTCAGCCTTCTTGCTCCTGGTATAGTGTCTAGCCCAGGTTCTGCTTCCCCAGCCAGCCTTCTCTTGGGGACAGAAGGAAGAGGGGCCAGGGCCTTCTGAGCAGGGCTGAGCTCCAGCATGCTGTTACTGCAGAGGTCAGCGGTCAGGAAGCCCCTTCAGGTCCCTGATAGTGGTTCAGCCCCTCCCACATCCTCAAGGACAACCTTCCCCAGCACCTCCAGTGCTGGGGACCTGCTCATTTCCAGTGAAGACCACACTGTGTGGCCTCCGGGAAACTGCAAGAGAAGGGTGACAGGCCTGGACTGGGCTCTACCCAGACCTACCCTCCAAGTCCCATCCTCCTGTGGAGTGGCTGTGTGACTTGGGCTGTGTGACCGTCTCTGTGGTCCCTTTATCTGCTCTTACAGAAGGAAGGCTAATCTTCCCTCACCTCCAAGGACACAGAGTCAGTGAGCAGCTGCCCAGCTCACGCCCCGCACAGGGCATGCTGACCTCAGGCTCTCCAGAGCCTCCCATACCTACATTTACCCCAGATTTCCCAGGGAGCCCTCAGCAGCTCACATCACTGCCACTGCTGACGCCTCCCCACTTCGTCTCTCTTTTTCCTCCCACTCTCTGTCCTTCTTTCTCTCTACTGCCTCAGCTCCCAGCTCCCAGGTACAGTGACAAACAAGACGCCCATGTGCCTGCTCTTCGTAGGCAGGCTGACATACTGTCTCCTCCTCACCCTCCACTTTCTAGAACATGTAGCCCAAGGTGGCCTCAAATTTGATAACTTTGAACTCCTGGCCCTCCATCTCTGTAAGGGCTGAGGCTCTGTGTTCAGAGCCTCCAGCGTAAGGGGTCCTTCCTCTTGAAGTGTTATAATCTCTGGGAGTCTCCAAGCCAGGGTACAGCAAGGCTACATGTTTTTGGACATGCAGACTTAGACAGGTAAATCTTCCAAATGATGGACGAGCCATATGTGTGTGCTGGGGAGGAGACATCTGTGCCCAGGGAGTAGAGGGAATGATGCTATCTCTCTCTGGCCCTATGGTCCTACATTGGACACTACACTTTGGTCCCTATAGCCAACTGGCCTTCTAACTGCTGCCTCAAAGATGAAGAGCTTGGTTCCCTGTCACTTGGCAGTGGAAAAAAGGGGGAGGGGGCTGAGAAAGTATCTCTGGGAAATTTGGGGACAGGGTTTGTCTGCCCCTTCTCCTCCTTAGGAGATGACCTCTCTGGATTACCACTTAGTGGGAAGAAGGCTTGCTGGTGGGAGCTGTGATGTCTCTGTTGGAGAAAGGAAGCACACTTCAGCACCCCAAATAATTAGAACTCTTGAGGACTGTCAATCATAGGTAGGGAAGTAGGCATTGCCCACAGAGATGCAGGTGCCAAGCCATGTGCCCAGAGCGTGTGTGTGTGTGTGTGTGTGTGAGAGAGAGAGAGAGAGAGAGAGAGAGAGAGAGAGAGAGATTTCCTCCTCCTAAGCCTTAGAAACCCATTAAGGGGCCTCACCAGCTGAAGGCTTTGAAAGTGGAGCAGCAACTTTCTGATTGACCTTCATGTTGCTGAGAAAATAAAAGGGGCTTTGTGTGGGAACCCTGTGGCAACTCTTGATGCTCTCTGCTTGGCGCTCGATGCCTTGCAGGAAAAATCCCAGTTAGCAAGGAAGGGGGCATTCTCATAGTCCTTGGCCAACAATTCCTGCACAAGAACCTCTGCTCTCCCAGCTCACAAGGGGCGCAAACTCATCCAGGGGACTGTGCTGTGTTCCACACGGCCTTTCGGCTCGGAGCACTACTCAGAGAGAGTGACTCTCTGGCGATGGCAGGCTGGCCTGCTGCTCCCCGTGAAGGCATAAAGCACACTGAACCAGGCCTGGCAGCAGAGACTGGAGATGCAGCTGAGGAAAGAGGGGGAAGGAGAGAGGGAAGGGGAAGACAAAGGGGGAACTGACATATCTTCATGCTTGCACGTTTGTATGGGTGTGTGCAGGCCAGAGGTCAGCCTCTGGTCTCATTCCTCAGGAGCCATCCACCATGCTTTTTGTTGCTATTGTTTTGTTTTGTTGTTGTTTTGTTTTTTAGACAGGGTGGAGATCTAAGAGCCGCAGGCCACCAGGAAGATGTCATGTGAGAGGACACGGCATTGGCACTAGAGGTCATGCAGAGCCAACCTGGGCCTGGGCAAGGTGGTCATCAAAGTTAGGAAAATGAAACAGGAGTTAGCCAACTGCAGATGCCCAAAGAATGCCTGAGATAAGGCAAACTGGCTACGGACATGTTAAGGGTGGTACAGAACCAGGGAACATTTCCCCCGGGGCTTTGCAGACATCCAAGCAGAAGCCACATCATGCCAAAGAGGCTGGAACCTTCACATGACAGTGTGGACTCAGGCTGTCTCTGCTAACATGTATTTACCCTGGTCACCTGCAGGTGGAGCTCATCTGTCCTTGTGCAGTGGAGTTGGGAGGGATCACATGGGGCATGAAGGCTGCACACTGCTTAAAGGGACAGTGTGAATGGAGTCCCTGGAGTCATGAGGAAGGGGCCCAGGTACAGGAGGGTGGGTGGGGCCCTCGTTGTCACCTTAGAGGGTCAGGGAGTAGACAAGACAACCAGGAAGCTGAGTGCTTGCTGGCTCTGCGCAGAGACCCTGCTCTCCGGGACAGGAGGGCTGGCCACCAGCCACTCCAAGCACTCCTGACTGAAGGTGGACACAGTGTGTTCTAGTAAACCTCAGGGGTACTGAGTGACCACTGCAACAGCAGACATGCCCAGCCATTCCAGCAGCCTGTCCATGTTGAGCTAGCAGAGGCAGCTTCTTCCCGGAAACCCCAGGGAGGCCTTTGCCTCCTGGAGGTGCTGGACCTCCAGGTTGGTGGTTGGGAAGCTGGCCCCACTTGAGCTCTGCACCTGGTTCCTGCAATGCGTCTGGGCTGCCACCTGGCTGGCGCCCTGTATGTGCTGAAGGGTCCGGCTAAGCTGTGGGCCTGGTGGAGCTTAACTTCTCCCACAGAGCCCTCAGCGGGCGCCCGTAAACATCAGGCCAGGGCAGGGACTCTGGTCGGACATAGCCATGCCAACCCCAGCCTTACAGGCCTTGTACTTGCTTATCAGCTTCTGGGCTGTGTTCTTTTCTTTGGAGAGGGGGCATGTGGGGCCTGAGCAGATGGCTCAGTCAGCCAGTGCTTGCTAGACAAGCGTGAGGATCTATGTCCAATCTCTGGAACCAGCATAAACAAACAAACAAACAAACAAAAAACGGGGCAAAGTGGTGTGTGCTTCTGGTTCTAGGGCTGGGGAGGATGGATTTATGGGGTTCGGAGGA